GAGCGGGGAATCCAGCCCCGCCCCTGCCACGGCAGAGAGCCGTGACAGGATCGAGAAGTGAGCGAACGCCGGTATGTGTTCGCTCACCTCCCGATCTACTGAGCCGACCTGTGACAGTCTCATTGTCACAGGTCGGCTAGAACTATGAGGTGAGTGAAAAGCACTCACCTCATAGTTCTCCTTTAGGGCTATTTACAATACAATTATAAATCATATTATTATGATATTCATAGGAATAAAAAGTTAATTTTCTACCATATTTATTTTTTTCTTCTTTTAAAAAATATAAATTTTAATCCTGCTCATAATAAAGTATATATAAACCCAGTCACTAAAATCTCATAAAAACTTTAACATGTTAATGTCAATTCCAAATGCCATTTTTTTATATTTTATATTTCATTAAAATAATCCCTGGTGATCCTGCCTTGAAGATCCTTGTTCAGGCTCTTCCTGTTATAGGGTGACAACACTCTGCTCCTGTCTTCCAATGCAGACACTAAGTGGTCGGTCCTGCATAAATGACACAGATACGGTCACCTGTTGTCACCATCAGGAAACCTGTCCTGACAAATGCCATGCAGCCATCATTTGAGTGCATGTACATAGGAAGTGGCTGCAAACGAGGCTGCAGCACTGAGATGCCACAAATGGAGATAACATTGTTTATGACAGTGAATTTAGTGAAGGTTTACATCTAATTTTAAATAGATACCCTCATTTTTTTTAGAGAACATTCTGATTACGCAAGGTGAGGGTGTCTGGCCAATATTCTGCTTACCATTAAGTACATGGCTCCTGCCGGTCGCACGGGGCAGAGTCCAGGGACGGTGGAGAGGGTAGTATAGCAGAGGTCAGCATTAGACTGCAAGAAAAAACGGAGTACACAAAAAAGAATGGACGTCAATGAAAAACTATTGACTCTGAATGATGTAAAGCCAAAGTAAAGAGAGGAAATGCGATTATATAAAGGTATACTGGAGGCCGGAGCTATGACCTATTTCCCAATATTACAGTCTGAAAAAGAACGCAGGTTCCATAGACGGCAGCATTTTCCACTGGAACTCGGAAGGAGTTGTTTTTGGTGTATATACAGTGTGTGTGTGTGTGTGTGTGTGTGTGTGTGTGTGTGTGTGTGTGTGTGTTTGTTTGTGTCCAGAGCATTTATCATCCTATGTTTGCTTTTCTTTTTTTTAGTTTCACATTTTTTTAGTTTCAAATTGCTTTTCTTAAAAGGAGAAGAAAAGCCCGGAAGCTGACCAGGGTGTACAAGAGACAGGGGGCATAAAATCAAATTACTAAGTTATAGGGGGTGATTTACTAACCTAAACACACGCACGCACCAGGTGCGTGTGATTTTCACACAGCAAAACGTATTTATCAACCAAAAAGTCTCTAAAAGCATATTTCCACTAATGCCATATATGGAAAAATCATGCACATGATGCATATATAATGCTGCTTCACAGTTTAGACAAAAATAGTTAGCTCATGCATTTACATTCCTGCATTCATCAATGCAAGCAACACAACATAGAGCTAATTTGCACAACATCACCTTGCAATTCATGCTTGGCTTTGCACAACACACCTGCTGGGTGTGTACACACTACAAAGGTGTTTAGATTCCAGCCATAGATCATGCTGGGAGGGAACACACTATAGAGGTGTATACATGTTCATGGTGTGTTTATAAGGTTAGTAAATCAACCCCATAATGTCTATAGGTTCAGTGCTTGAGAAGTACAATGAAAGTGTATCTGAAGCCCTAAAATGTCTTTGTACCCTCTTTACTTGCCTTGGTAAGTACCATCACCAAGTGGGAATAGGAGGTGAAGGGAAACCTTCCATTGTGCACATCTGTTCCGGTCTAAGAGTGCATTTCACCTCACGTTGGAAGGAATTCCCAGTTTTACCAAAATTGCCACTCTGTTGCTGCTGGGTTATACAGTTTTTAAAAGGGGTATAGAAGATGGGTGCAGTGGGGTGTTTCTTAAAAAGTACTTGGGAGGGGGCAGAGTTTTAAAGTGTGCCCAAGGCATACAAATCTTTATTTAAACCTTTGATAATGGAAGGCACTTGGAAAATTGGCCATTTGGCAAACTGGCTGAGCAAGCCAACCCAAAGTAGTTTTTTTGTGAATAAAACAGCTCGGAGGTATAATCCCACCTGAGAGTTCCTGTTATACTTCTGGGCCTCCTTTCTAGTCAGAACACTTCCCAAAATAGCTCAGATAGGTATTTCATAGATGGCCTAAGGCTACTTTAATTCTATAACTGGATCATCTATGTTTAAAGGAGCATCAGCTCTACTCCGGTGCACCAGACTTTTAAATAATCTAACTAAGCACAGGCTTGGAGACCTAATAGGGAAACCTGTTTTCTGCTGCACTTCCCAGCTTATTCTTTCAGCCATGGCCCATATGACCAAAACCACAGGTGTGCAGTGGGATAAAGAATAACCCATAAAACTCCTAACCCAACTGAAAAACTGCAGCCATTCTATAAAGACCAATTGGTCAGTACAGTACAGCAACAACAAAATGTACATTTGGGTATGTTATGCTCCCTGTATGCGTCTCAATTGTCATATTCAATTTTGACTGCAATGTACTTTTAAGGTTCTTATTACCCTTGCAGTAAATGTCAGGCAGCCTTACTAGTTCCTGTCCTCATATTTGTGGATGCCATCAGACTACACCAAACAACCCCAGTCATTTGGTCAATTTGGATATTATTGGCTAACCACTGTTACTTATTCTGATATAAGTGGATGTCAGAGATGTCTAGTTGTATGTTTCACTCATGCTTTGATCTGAAGTTTAGGGAAAAAAATGTCTCAAAAGTCAGATCAGCAGAAAAAAAAAAATATATACAGTATATATCATTAACTGTTATAAGTCAATAAAAGCTCAAAATCACTGAATTTTTGGGATATGCTATGTTTTTATCCATTTAAAAAGTTTATTAGTGGTTTTGATTTGGTTCGGAACCTAGTTTTTATATTCCCAATGAAACTATAAATGTCACATTTGAAAAACATAGAGACACACACCCATAAATAGTCCCCCACTGTAGGAAATACCTTGATGAAGTTGATGGTGTTGTCATAAAAATGCTGAGGAGTCCTGTTGATTAGGTGATCCAGTGCTCCTTGGACGATGGTACATGGACCAAGAATTCTCTGACTTAGGCGTACAAGGCCCTCTCTGATCTAAAAATAAGAAATAGAAGTACTTATGGCATTTTCAGCCAAACATTTTAATACAAGAATGCTCTTTTTAGATGTTTGTGGACATTTCAAAGGTATGCCATGTTGACTACTAACATGTTGAAGATAGACACTTTGTGGCCAACGGTTTGTGGACATCTAACCATAACACCTATATGAGCTTGTTGGGCATCCCATTCCAAAACAATGGGCAATAATATGGAGTTCACATCCAGCCTCTTTTCTTCTGGGAAGGCTTTCCACAAGATTTTGGAGTGTGTTTGTGGGAATTTGTGCCAATTTAGCCAAAAGAGTATTTATGAGATTAGGTACTAATTGGATGGGAACGCCTAGCTTCCAACTGCCATTCGAATTCATCTTGAAGGTGTTTAGTAAGGTTGAAGTCAGGGCTCTGTGAAGGCCACTCAGGTTCCTCCACACCAAACTTATCGAACCATGTCTTTATGGAGCTGGCTTTGTACACAGGGGCACAGTCATACTGGAACAGGAAAGGGCGGTACCCAAACATTTGCCAAAAGGTAAGAGGTGCAGAGTTGCCTAAAATGTCTTTGTATGCTGTAGCAGTAACAGTACAGTCTAGAAGCGTCCACATACTTTTGGACTAATAATGCATATAGCATAATTTGCCATGTAATTGCTTTACAGTTTATTACAAAATGTTACACCAAAAAAAGGAAAAGTCCAATTTTTTGGATAATATTACCTCCTTGCCAAAAATTTCTTTACGATCATGGATTAAAATCCATCCCATCCTCCATCCTGGCACCAGCCAGCGCTTAGCAAGGCCACCACATGACAAAATTGGGACGTTAGTGCTCAGTGGTGCTAGAGCCTTGAATGCACCATATTCAAAAACCTGTTGAAACAAAACAACAACATAAATAATCAATGCATCACTCCGCAAAAGAGACATAGAGGGATCTCTGTATCCAATTTCCCAGCTCCACCCTCCTGCCATTGCCTTTACCAAAAAGTCTTGCAACCCCTGTTGAATTTTTCAATATGAATACCCAATCATGTGAAAGAAAAATAAAAAAACGGGATTTTATTGGTTATGTTGGTTATTTTGTGTGTTTTTTTTAGGCAAGGTATACAGTATGGGGCATTAAATCCTGTTATCTGCATATAAATATTCCATGGCTTGACATGATGGGTTTCATAGGAATCTGCAACTCTGTTGCATTTTAATCCTGCCTACAATCTTCAGGCCGAAAATATTTTAGTATTTAAAATATTTAAAACATTTCTAGCACATAATTGGTGGATTACGGTAAAGTTAAGAGCTGTTGCCTGCAGTGACCAGCATTTCTGTTTCCATAAAATGTAAGGTGAAACTTTATAGATTGTTATTGACTTTAAAAGGGGATTTTTAAATGATTTAAGTACACAATTAATATAAATACTTTTTATGCTAAAATAATCAGGTCCTTTAATAAAATTTTAAATAAAATAAAATATATGATTCTATTTTAGCTTTAATTCTTTTTTAGCATTACAAACTGTGCACTGTGGTAAAAGAAAGCTAAACAAACACACAAAATAAAATCGTATTAGTTGACGTTGTTGTGAAATTAGTTTGCACATTTGTGTTTGTGCAATCCAGTGAGAAGGAAGCAGTATTTTCTGGATGATTTAAGTCACTCGCTGTTCCTTTGTGCAGTAAATATGTGACATCTGAAAGTGTTTAGGAGACCATAAATGAAATATCCAAGCCAAGAGAAGACAACATCAAAGAGATATGCAATCTGCAAAGTCACTGTGACATCTGGATGGGGTGATGGCCGGGAAGGGGCAGGACTCATCTCAGGGGCTGGCTTCTAGAAAGCAGCACACAATGTACGTTGACATTTCTGCATAACACTGGAGTGCCAGAATTTTTTACAGTTAAAGTAACCTTAACTTTGTTAATACTGACATGGCCTATTTCAGTATCCACAGAGCAGAGGCATGTAAGACTCTGCCGTGAAGTTGGCTAAAATCCTTGCATTGTATATAAATGTTCTGGAGGGGATTGCTTCATATGAAAAAAATTGGGATTTTCAGTTTACATGAGAATGCCAAAAAGGATACAAACAGGGCTGGTGCTGCCCCTAGGCAAACTAGGCAGCCGCCTAGGGCGCAGCCTTGATCACTCACCCCTCCATGGCACCCCGTCTATTTCAAATTGCAAAAGCCAATAGCAGGCTGGCTATTGCACCTACCCACTGAGCAGAGTAGCGTAACTGAGAGGCACTCAGGTCCACGCCTCTGTTCAGTGGGTGGGTTTTCAATAGCCAGTCTGCTATTGGCTATTTTAAATTAAATTACATCCACCTGTTACCTGCGGAAGCTATCCTGCAGGAGAAAGGGGCCACCCATGGGTGGGGGGACTTTGGGGTGCGGTAGCTGGTCTTCCCTAGGGCACAAAATAGTCTAGCACCGGCCCTGGATACAAACCAGGCTTACATAGTACTAAGTAATGTACACTGCTGGTGCCTATTTTAGATGAGCAAATGTTGCCATTCGCTCTCTTTTTGACACAGCAGTATTAAATCCACACCACAGTATGCTTTTTATGACCCATTCGTTAATGCAGGATATGGTGTCCCACAGAGTTCTCTCTGCATAATGCATGATTGGAGGTGAGACATTGATAGCAGAAGACGTGTATCCAAACCTCTGTCATTGTCCTTAGTGGTGAGACAAGTTGTTTTACATGCTGGTTTCTGAGTGTGCCATGATGCCTTTCTACTGTTCTATTGATAGGTCATGTGACCCGGCTCTCCTTGTCCCGGCTGTTTTTTAAATTAGAATTAATGAATTGCGTTGGGCTTTATAAATGTGTGTATACATAAATATACACCGTTCAGCCATAACATTAGGATCATTGAGAGGTGAAGTGAATAACACTCGGCGGGGATATATTTGGCAGCAAGTGAACATTTTGTACCTAACAGCGATTTGTTGGAAGCTGAAAAAATGGACAAGTGTAAGGATTTGAGCGACTTTGATAAGGGCCAAATGGTGATGGGTAGACCACTAGGTCAGATCAACTCCAAAACTACAGCTCTTGGGGGATGTTCCCGGTCTGCAGTGGTCAGGACCGACCAAAAGTGGTCCAAGGAAAGAAAACAGGTAAACAGGTAAACAAGCGGCAGGGTTATGAGCGGCCAAGGTTTATTGATGCACATGGGGAGCGAAGGCTGTGAGGCGAATTTATAAATGTTAACAGAAATATCTTTGTAAAAGCTTGTAATAAACCTTTTAGAAATCTTTTAATTCCTTTGTCACTTTGTGTCCAGGGTTAGCTTAAAACAGCACTTGGAATACATTTTTCGTTACAAATGTATGATTTGTTTTACATTTACCTACATTTACCTACACAGGAGCAGCCATTACAAAGCTGTTTTACATCAACCAACATTCACTTTCCATGAGAAACTAGTAAAATGTGTGTGATGACCCCAGTTCATTGATATACTTTTATCAGATCTACCCCCAAGTATATGAACTCACCATGTCTCCATAGATCTCATCAGCGAGGATAGGTACACACTGTCTGGAGGCCACTATAAAGACATTTGAGTAAAATGATTTCAATGCAAAACATAAAAGTAAAAACGATAATTAAAATGACAATGTATGTACTTATTGAACAACCTTCAGATTTAAAAGGAAACTTCAAGCCAAAACCTTTTCCTTATGCTTTGGATTTGGGAAATGGTTAGAATCTCCCCTGGGTGCTTAATACTGACTGTGACAAGGTTGTGAAAGTTTTCACTTCCTTCCTTAGTGGCAACTTTTACTGGGGCGGGAAATGAGGGGAAAGCTCTAGAATGCCCTCACAGATGGCAATGAAACCCTGACAGAGGTTCTAAGTGATCCCTAGCCAATCCAACAAAACCTAAAGCAGACCTTGCATTAAAAAGTAAAGCTCGCATTTCTAATGAACAAATGCTAGGTGAAAGCTATCAAAAATTTAAAGAAAAATACTAAAAACAATAACCTTACCTTACACTCCAGTTCTGGGACTGGGAAAGCTGAGGATCTCAAATCCTATGAGAATGTTCTCCTGCACAGTGCTGGAGAAATTCTTATGAGATCTGGGATTCCGAGCTGTCCCAAGATTCCACCATGATGCCCAGTGACATCACTGGAAGCGTCCGGTAGCCGAGTACTGTAGTAAGGAGTTTTTATTATAATTTTCTTTTAATTATTTTGTTTTGCTCTTGTGTTTTTCACTTACCATTTTTTAACCAGAGAGTGGCCTGGGGGTGAACTTCTATTGAAGGTTAGATTTAGAATAGAGCTTCCCAGTCCTCGGCAAAGACTAATTTTCTACTTTATACTGTTTATACCTTTATACTTTTATACCGTAATGTCCTTCACAACTCATTGAGGTTCCTCAACTCAGCTACCTGGAGCCCTACTCATACAGTATCATAAAGTATCATTCTACAAAGCACTATGTGGTCCAACATGTGTCTTAAAGAGATACAATAGGCCAACATCAATTTTTGAGCCTTTACCTGTTCAATAGCTAAGAAGGGAGAACTTACCAGCAACGATTTTCTGCAAGTGTTTCTTGCTGAAGACAGAGCCACATGGATTGGATGGGTTATTGACAATGATACAGGCGGTCTTTTCATCCACCAGAGACTCCATGTGTTTCAGATCAACCTCCCAAGATTTCTCTGGCTGGAAACACAACAGAATAATGTCAATGCTGGAAAATGTTTGGTTGTCTCCTAGAAACCTGAGAGTTCTCGAGTTTAGTGTACAGCCACATACCCAGAATTACAGAAAAGCTTTGAAAGCATAACTCAAGATGTTTCCTTTGTGACTATACAGATGTTTGACTTTTGATTACATGTTTGTAACTTCATAAATATGGAGTTAATAAATTAGGTCAACAACATCCAAACTAGATGACTTCAACAAAATGGTATACCGCAGTGGTGGTAGGCAAGCTCCAGCCCTCCAGCTGTGGTGCTACTACAAATCCCATTAGGCGTTGCAAGACTCTGACAGCCACAGGCATGACTGTCAGAGACGGAGGCATGACGGAATTTGTGGTTTCACCATAGCTGGAGGGCCAACGTTTGCCTACCACTGGTATACTGTATAAGTCATTGTTGGAACTGCTTTTAGCAATGGGATGAAATTATATTACATATTCCAAAAGATACAACTATATGCAAGAAACTATGCAAGCAAAAAATTTCACTGCTGAAGATATAGACTAGTGACTGATAGTCACTGAAGATAGTGACTAGACAGCAAAGCAGCTTGGTAAACCAAAAAATATGGTACCAAAGACTTTGTAGTTTTATTTTCATGCATTTTTAAGGCGGCCATACACTGTGCCAGTCCTTGAGGAGACGGTCAAAATTTGGACAGTGGGTGCCACTGTCAGCACCCTTTTAGCCGGCCTCCCTCGATCAGCTGATCGAAGGAGCAAGTGGGAAAATCTTCATGCAAACAGAGCTGGCAGCTCATTTGGCGGCCGCTGTCAGATACAAAAGAAAAAGTGAGGATTCCTCGATCAGCTCGTAACGTTGATGGAGGAATCTGCTCTATTTTTTTTTTCCGTTCAGCCCGCAGGTTGAACGAAACAAATAGAGCAGTGTAGGCCAGCTTCAGAATGAGGAATTCTGTTGTGAAGATAAGGTCAGTGCAGAGCTTATCCATCAATGTTGCAAAGCACACACATTTTTTGTTTCCCACATTGACAACTTCCTGCTTAGCACAAGCAGGAGGCATCCTCTATATAAACTATTATTAGACCGAAGGTTTTGTTTGCAGATACCAATGCACAGATAGGTACTTTTCTAAGCTGCTAATTATCTAAAAGAGATTTCATTGAGAACAGCAGACGCAAACTCTACAATCGGTATATAAGTATAAATGGTTATTTGTTGTTCATCTGCCAACTGTGACTCTGAGAATGTTATTCTTAAAAGTATAGATCTGCAGTACTGTCGCTACTACAGAGTAGGCAGTGGTAACATTGAGGGGACATCTGGATAATCTTGGTTCCATGTGTTACAGCTTTGTTTTATTAAATGGATTAAAATAGAACTACCCCTCCCCCAGTTACTAGCTGCGTTATCCAGGGTTCCTTTGTTTCTCAAACCACCCTCACATATTCCTACATGGATGATGCTTTACATTAGGGATGCACTGATACCGTTTTTTCGGTACTGAGTACTGATATTTATTTATATTTTGGTACTCGCTGGTACTGAGTACCGATACCGCTAGCATGGAGCCAGCTTCCCGGGCAATAAGGGAAGTCGACTCCATGCTGTTTAGCTGGCTCCATACAGATTGGCCAGAAAGCAGGTTTCCCAGCCAATCAGCATCGAGGCATCTGTTTGGCCGGCTTGATGTTGATTGACCAGGAAGCCGGCTTCCCAGCCAATCAGCATGGAACCAGCTTCCCGGCCAATCAGCATGGAGCCGGCCAAACAGCATGGAGATGGCTTCCTGGCCAATCAGGAAGCCGGCATCATGTTCCCTTGCGGGATTACCAGTCAGAGGAAATCTCACTCTGACTGTATCGCGGAAGGTATTGGAGCATTTGGGCGAGTACGAGTACGAGTACTCACTAAAAATGCTCGGTATCGGCACCGATACTAGTATTGGTATCGGTGCAGCCCTACTTTACAGTTATGTTTTATGAGAGAAAATACTCACAATCAAGTTGTAGAGTTTCACTTCCACACCCAGGGACAAGGCCAAAGTCTTGTAGAGGGAAAACCCAGGCCGGGGAACCAGGATGTTTTGGCCTGGATTGGCCAGTACGGCCAGAGCTAGTTCAATTGCATGGCTGCATCCACTGGTGAGGATAACGTCCTAAGAGCAGAGATGTCCAAATGTAATCAGATATAATGATATTGGGTGACGTGTCTACTCAAATTCTACTACAAAGCTTTCTAGATTATCTGACAGTCATATCAGTCTATATATATACATATATATTTTTGCAAAATTATGGTAAAGTAGCAAAATAAAATAGCAAAAACAGGTGCTGCTCCAGGTTGGTCCACCATAACTACGTTGGTTGCACAACTAGTTCACCACTAGGGATTAGCTGCACGTTCGAGTCGAACCTATGTTCGACTTGAACATAGCATGTTCTAACGTTCGCCGAACGCCGAACATTATGGGATGTCCGCGGTCTGTTTGACCGCGGGACATCCCACAATGCACTGCGCCGTCCGAAACGGTAATTGGCTACAGTCTTGCACCTGACCACAGGTCAGGTGCAAGACTGTGCCAATCAGGGCTCAGTACAAATATAGAGCCATGATTGGGCAAAGTCACGATGACTCTGCCCAATCATGTCTCACAGCTAAGTCCCTGCAGCACACTATATAAGGCTGCTGACACCCTATGTAGTGTGTTGTAGGAGATAGAGAGAGAGGGTTTTAGTATAGTTAGTTACAGCAGCTGCAGATTGATAGAGAGTTATAGATAGATATAATAGACTTCTGTATATATATATATATATATATCAGACTTCTGTATATATTAGAGTTCTATATAAATATCAATAAAAAGTATATAAATGTCATTTTTGCTTCAGCAGGTTCTATACATCATACAGATGCGCCACTTTACGGTCAGTGAAAGGGGACCCCCCAGGCACCATATATAAAGGAATTTTTTATTTTTAATGTTTCATTTTAAGTGATGTTAAATCACTGCTCCTTTCAAAATTGTATTTTTT